CCTATAGGAAAACCAACACGGAAAACACTTTTCAGACTGGATGGAGAAATCCAGCTTTATGAATGAATGAATGAATGAATAGGGCATTTATAGCGCTTTCATATATGCCTACACTCAAAGTGCTTTACAATCATATCACAGAATCTCTCCTCAACCATAAGTGGTTATTAAATCTTAGGAAATCACAGGATCCGGCCAAATGATTGGATACAGAATGATGCACTTAAAATGTATCCAGAGCGTATTTACGGGGAAGAGGAGACCGAACAGTTACTGTTGTGTTCTCGACCCAGATAGTGTTGACTAGACGAGCACGAAAACACCTCAGTAGCACGTGTGACGTGTGTAGAATTTTGTTGAAAGCCCAGATAAAAGTAAAAAGCTACTATTTTGTGTTTATCCATGGCAGTTCGACTTCACACACACACGCGCGCGCGCTCTGAGCCAGTGGACGCGCACTGCACAATGTTTCGACTTTAATCTCGAAACATTTCGACTTTAATCTCGAAACATTTCGACTTTAATCTCGAAACATTCCGACTTTAATCTCGAAACATTTCGACTTTAATCTCGAAACATTTCGACTTTAATCTCGAAATGCTAGATTTTTTTTTTTTTTTTTTTTTTACAGATTTTTTTTTTTTACAGATTTTTTTTTTAAGATTTTTTTTTTTTTTTTTTAAGATTTTTTTTTTTTTACTGACTTTTTTTTTTTTTTTTTTAGGTTGCGGTTCAGGGCTTCCGTACCCCAGCTCCTCGTTTAAGCAAAAGGTATGCTAAAACAACGTATTACATCGACGTTAAACCACGTTAACCGTGTTAACCATAACCTTTTAAATACTCGACCTAGTTCCATTGCTTAGCAACGGGAAGAAACTCCTGTAACTTCAGTGCCCAACCCGTATCACGACAAGACGTGAAATACTCACGTTGTTGGTCCAATTTGGAAAACGTGTAGATGTTTTTTTAGATGTTTTAAAAAAAAATAAAATCTAGCATTTCGAGATTAAAGTAGAAATGTTTCGAGATTAAAGTCGAAATGTTTCGAGATTAAAGTCGGAATGTTTCGAGATTAAAGTCGGAATGTTTCGAGATTAAAGTCGAAATGTTTCGAGATTAAATTCGAAATGTTTCGAGATTAAAGTCGAAACATTGTGCATTCATAACAGTGCGCGTCCACTGGCTTAGAGCGCGCGCGTGTGTGTGAAGTTGAACTGCCATGGATAAACCCAAAATAGTAGCTTTTCGGTCTCCTTTGATGAAACAAAAAAACACACACACACACACACACAGTGTGTGAAACTCGCTATTGGCCATTATGAATGCCTGTGTGTGCGGCAATGTGAGACAATGGAAAGCACACACGCGCAGCTTCTACGCGATAGCAAGTTTCACACTGCGTATGTGTGTGTGTGTGTGTGTTTTGTTTCATCAAAGGAAATTCAACAGGTGCCAATCTACCAGCATTAGGCTACCATTATAGGACGTTATAAAATATACTGCGCCGGAATAGGCTTTAGCCTATAGGAAAACCAACACGGAAAACACTTTTCAGACTGGATGGAGAAATCCAGCTTTATGAATGAATGAATGAATGAATAGGGCATTTATAGCGCTTTCATATATGCCTACACTCAAAGTGCTTTACAATCATATCACAGAATCTCTCCTCAACCATAAGTGGTTATTAAATCTTAGGAAATCACAGGATCCGGCCAAATGATTGGATACAGAATGATGCACTTAAAATGTATCCAGAGCGTATTTACGGGGAAGAGGAGACCGAACAGTTACTGTTGTGTTCTCGACCCAGATAGTGTTGACTAGACGAGCACGAAAACACCTCAGTAGCACGTGTGACGTGTGTAGAATTTTGTTGAAAGCCCAGATAAAAGTAAAAAGCTACTATTTTGTGTTTATCCATGGCAGTTCGACTTCACACACACACGCGCGCGCGCTCTGAGCCAGTGGACGCGCACTGCACAATGTTTCGACTTTAATCTCGAAACATTTCGACTTTAATCTCGAAACATTTCGACTTTAATCTCGAAACATTCCGACTTTAATCTCGAAACATTTCGACTTTAATCTCGAAACATTTCGACTTTAATCTCGAAATGCTAGATTTTTTTTTTTTTTTTTTTTTTTACAGATTTTTTTTTTTTACAGATTTTTTTTTTAAGATTTTTTTTTTTTTAAGATTTTTTTTTTTTTTACTGACTTTTTTTTTTTTTTTTTAGGTTGCGGTTCAGGGCTTCCGTAGTTCAGGGCTTCCGTAGGCCTAATGAGTAAAATGTCTATTTTTCCGGCGTCCCCCCAGCTCCTCGTTTAAGCAAAAGGTATGCTAAAACAACGTATTACATCGACGTTAAACCACGTTAACCGTGTTAACCATAACCTTTTAAATACTCGACCTAGTTCCATTGCTTAGCAACGGGAAGAAACTCCTGTAACTTCAGTGCCCAACCCGTATCACGACAAGACGTGAAATACTCACGTTGTTGGTCCAATTTGGAAAACGTGTAGATGTTTTTTTAGATGTTTAAAAAAAAAAAAAAAATCTAGCATTTCGAGATTAAAGTAGAAATGTTTCGAGATTAAAGTCGAAATGTTTCGAGATTAAAGTCGGAATGTTTCGAGATTAAAGTCGGAATGTTTCGAGATTAAAGTCGAAATGTTTCGAGATTAAATTCGAAATGTTTCGAGATTAAAGTCGAAACATTGTGCATTCATAACAGTGCGCGTCCACTGGCTTAGAGCGCGCGCGTGTGTGTGAAGTTGAACTGCCATGGATAAACCCAAAATAGTAGCTTTTCGGTCTCCTTTGATGAAACAAAAAAACACACACACACACACACACACAGTGTGTGAAACTCGCTATTGGCCATTATGAATGCCTGTGTGTGCGGCAATGTGAGACAATGGAAAGCACACACGCGCAGCTTCTTCGCGATAGCAAGTTTCACACTGCGTATGTGTGTGTGTGTGTGTGTTTTGTTTCATCAAAGGAAATTCAACAGGTGCCAATCTACCAGCATTATAGGCTACCATTATAGGACGTTATAAAATATACTGCGCCGGAATAGGCTTTAGCCTATAGGAAAACCAACACGGAAAACACTTTTCAGACTGGATGGAGAAATCCAGCTTTATGAATGAATGAATGAATGAATAGGGCATTTATAGCGCTTTCATATATGCCTACACTCAAAGTGCTTTACAATCATATCACAGAATCTCTCCTCAACCATAAGTGGTTATTAAATCTTAGGAAATCACAGGATCCGGCCAAATGATTGGATACAGAATGATGCACTTAAAATGTATCCAGAGCGTATTTACGGGGAAGAGGAGACCGAACAGTTACTGTTGTGTTCTCGACCCAGATAGTGTTGACTAGACGAGCACGAAAACACCTCAGTAGCACGTGTGACGTGTGTAGAATTTTGTTGAAAGCCCAGATAAAAGTAAAAAGCTACTATTTTGTGTTTATCCATGGCAGTTCGACTTCACACACACACGCGCGCGCGCTCTGAGCCAGTGGACGCGCACTGCACAATGTTTCGACTTTAATCTCGAAACATTTCGACTTTAATCTCGAAACATTTCGACTTTAATCTCGAAACATTCCGACTTTAATCTCGACTTTAATCTCGAAACATTTCGACTTTAATCTCGAAACATTTCGACTTTAATCTCGAAATGCTAGATTTTTTTTTTTTTTTTCACAGATTTTTTTTTTTTTACAGATTTTTTTTTTTTTTACAGATTTTTTTTTTTTACTGACTTTTTTTTTTTTTTTAGGTTGCGGTTCAGGGCTTCCGTAAGCATTCGACCTTCAAGTCCCTTAATATAATTTGTATTGATTTAAAACACAAATGAAAACAGACAAAATAACTAAATAGCAGTGTCACACTGCAGGACATTTTTTTACAGATCTTTTGAAGATTAAACTGGGCCTCTCAAATTCAGTGCCAATAAATCATCTAAAGATCAAGATTTGTAACATTTCATTCATGGAAATTGGGGACAATTTTACAAGGTCCTCTATTTGACTTATGTTATTCAACACAGGACGTACTAATGTAGACTAGCTTACTGTACTTTCCATATTTCACTCAAAATTACATCATGACATTGAAAAAACAGACAATTGAGAAAAAAATGCACATTGATCTTCATAATACAATTTTAGATAATGAAACTTGTTCTGAGAGGTTATTTTTATAGGTTACATTTCATTAGTAGTTTTTTTTTCATATGGCCAGTTGTAAAGATTTTCGATCATTTTTATTTCTCAGATACATCCCAGACATCCAGTTTGTTGCTCTTTTTCTGGTTTTTATAACATTGGATGTGCTTCCTCAGTTTGATGAGTTCTCCCATTTAAACAGTTGTATACAGTTGTTTTAATCTGCAATGAGAACAGTTAAAACATTTTAATGCAGAAATATCTTATACAACAAAAAGGTTGGATCATGATGGTGAATGAAGGTCTTTGTCCACAATTTGTGCCTAATGTGTGATGTACCTTCTCTTTTTCTTTAAGAAGTAAACAGGACATTTCTTTTCCACAGCTAACACATGAAACTTGAGGCTGAGAAAAATACAATAGAGCAGTGTGAAATGAAGTTATTTTTAAAGTGTATTCTACAATGACTCCTAGGCATAGACTATCAAGATCCTTCTGTGAGAGTGAGCTACTTACTTTTGCATTCTCTTGGATTATACAGTCTTTCTGATGGGTACTCTTTGTCATCTTATCACATGAGGTGGGTTTTAATATCACATGAAGCATGCTCTTCTCATAATTCTTTCATGTACAGTAGGGAAAGAGACGTGTAAAGCATAAAGATGACAACCATACATGTAGATATTTAACTATTTATATCAAGCACTTTAAGACAGATGCATAAGGACTGAAAACAAAATCAAAATACAACTTACAGTAAAATTAGGAATTTACAATATAATGATCAAATTGAAAATAAATCACTTACAGCATTTAAAATGAAGGCAAAATCAAGGTGTTTGGCTCCAAATTTCTCATTGGCTTGTTGTATTGCCCTGTCAACAATGCGCGCATCATTTTGGCTTAGTTGATGATATTCTTTGTTTCCGTCTGTTAACTCCAGCAGTAACAGAGCATTAAGCAGTAACAGTAAACCTCTCATCTTGCACAGTAACTGATGTTCTGCGCTGTTAGCCTGATTTTAGTCAGAACCAGTTACTGGTGTCACATCTACACAGACCACAACTGCTGTGATTGGTCTACTTTGTAACCAGAGGCCCTCCCCAAGATAATGAAATAAGACTTATGAAGATAAATTTAAGATCCCTTTTTAAAAGACCCTTTTAAGACCAAGTCAGGAAATTCTTAAGAAAAAATCAAGACACGCTATCAGCAAATACATTTTCAAACACACTTTGGTAATTAAATCTTGAAGCTCAACAAAAACCATTTTATTTTCTTAGAATATTCCGATTCGTCCATCTAAATGTCTTTAGATTAGCCAATATAATATAAAGACTAGCATGACTCACATCCAACTTGTAAGGTGGTGAACCATTATAAACTAAATGCATGTCAATACAACTGACAAAACTAGCATTGCAAATACTCTTTGGGACAAGCATTTCCCCAAATGAAAATCTCAAAGCCACAATGTTCAGAAAAGATGCAACTGTGCACATTTATCAAGTTCCTCTACGCTGGGTTACTGAGTTATAAAAATCTAAGCCACGTGGTGGAGAATGTTTTAAAATGAAACATGAAAATCCCTCATGCAAGACTTTCTGCTTTGATTACAAACCTTTTAAAGGCTTATATTCACAAAAAGGTAAAGAAACATTTAGACCTCAGATTTATGCTACTTAATGCTCATGTTCACCATTTGTTTTTCTGCTTTCAAAGTTCAAATGGAAAGTTTACACAACTCCTGATAAAACAATCCATGTTTGATCTGAAGATAAACCAACAGTACGCAAATATAAACTTTGGCTCATGGCTGCATTTAGATCCACTCCACCTTGTTTTTCACTTTAACCATAATTCCAGCACCTGCAATTCTTTTAAACAGAGGACAAAGTTCAAAAACAACAACCACTAAAAAGACTTTTTGATGTACTTAAAATATCATAAAGAGAAAAGACCCAAGTGTCATATTTGAAGAATTTATTGTTCTGGCATTTGAAACCAAGAGCATCATGACAAGCTATTGACAATATTTTAAACAATAAGAGGGGGGCAAAAACAACAAAAACTGAATTTGAACAACATCTGATTGGTGGAATGGGGAGTAAACCAATGGACCAAAAAAGGGAAGGGGGGCATCCAGTCATTCACATTAAAGTACAGCAACAATAAAAAAAATATTCATGAGCATTTCCTCACCTGTCCCAAGATGGGATCATTAATAATATTAATATCAACATCGATAAAAAATAATTACAAGTTATAAAGAGAAGCCAGTACCACTGGGAAGAGTGGCTGGCGGCTGCTTCTGTGTAAGTGAGAGAGGACAAGGGAGAGATGGAGAGAGAAGAAAAGGTTATGTAGGGCAGGATGTATTTGACAGTCTATGCAGAAAGGTCACTGTTGTCAAACCGTTCCTGATCGTACACTTCAGCGATCACCTTGCGACCTCCGAACCAGCGGTTGTTGAGCGCCTGAATGGCCTTGTTCATTTCTGATGCTGCTGAAAATTCTACGAAGATCTTTACAATGACTTCAGCATCCTCCTCCTCACCCTGCTTCTCCTGGTAAATGATCACTCTATTAACGGCTCCGAACTTCCCACATTCCTCTGTTACTTCTCCTTCCAGATCATCATCTATGTCTTCAGGTCCAACCATGTTTCTGAGCACCATAACCGTAGACTGAGGAAACAGCATACAGAAAAGGGTTTAAAACTCACCTCTCTCCATTATAGCATTGCAAAGTCATCTACTTGCATACACTACCATTCAAAAGTTTGGGGTCTGTAAGATTGATTTATTCTAAAGAAATTCATATTTTTAATAATAAAGGATAACACAGGATCAGGACCATGTGACACTTAAGGCTGGAGTAATGACTGCTGAAAAATCAGCTTTGCCAAAAAAAATAAAAAACAACTTTAAAATGTAACAGTTTAAATTATACAGAAATTTCATCATATTACTGTTTTTACGTTTTTTTGGTCAGAAGACTTTAAATCATTTCTTGACAACCCCAAACATTAGTGATTGAGAACTAACCTCTTGTTTTCTCAGGAGTTTCTGCATGACCATATGCCTTGCACTGCTGCCTGAAATGCTCATATGCTCCTGTTCACTGAGCATCTCCTGGCCCGTGCCATCTTGAGCAGATTCCTCCTCTTCTTTTTCCTTCTTTGCCTCTTGGGCTGCAGCCACAGCTGCTGAGAGTGACGGTGGAGAGGCCAACACCGGGTTCACAAGGCCCACCTGAGGCACAACAGGCATCGTGGGCCTGGCCGGCGTCACCCCTGCACAAAAACACAGGAGTCAGTATATTATTAACCATGGTCTGACACTGAATCTCAGCAAGACACCTATAAATCCCCCTCTATGCCAGCGAAATGGCGAAATTGACAAACTACACGGTCATTACAGGACTGTTCCCTGAAAAAACACTTAAAAAAAATGAAAAGCACATTAAGAGAGTTCACTCAAATATTGTCATCTAGGCTGACATTCCAAACCTACACCTTTTTATATGAAAAAAAAAAAGGAAATCTTAAAACTATGAGCAGTGTATTAGTTGGATGGAGATAATGGGGGGCAGGGCACAACAAATAACAAATATTTAAAAATATATTATCTTTTCATTTAGATTCATCATCATGTTAATTTAATATCATTAGCCCCAGTATCTGATAATCAAAAAAACTAAAGTTTAAAATGGCTGTCAATTAAAAGCTGCTATTTGGGGAGCTTTAGAATATTTTTCTGGACAACGAGGGAACTTTAAGAAAAGTGGTTCTCTTTCATAGGTTCACTCGACACTGCATTTTCAAACCACTAGTTTGAATGACAATTAATGTTCAAAATTAAATGCTAATAATTGAAATATATAATTATTCACTGATGATCATCTTCCCCCTCCAGTGAGACGTTAACTAATGACTGGATGCCAGCATCAGGGAGATGAACTTGAGAATTAATGTCAATGAAACTCAACAACTGATTGAAAAGATCTGATTTAAAGTATGATTTGTACATCCCACATTGCTACTTCACTTATGAAAGTGCCAAGGAGTGCTAGAGCGGATAAAGACTTTCATTGAATGTCTTAAATTTTTAATTTGAACTATTCCTTAAAGAAAATATTTATCTGAACAGTAACAGGAAACACTCATCTTTCAAGGAAATGATTCATTAAAAGAAAGGGGAAAAAACATGTAGAAATCAGACAGTTCTGGCATTGCTTAAGCATTTCCCCCTCTGTACCTGCTCGCTTCTTGCCTCGGTGACTGTACTTTTTTTAAGTTTGAAAGAAAAAGATTTAAGATTTGGGTCATTTTTCCTCTTTATTTGAAACCCCCATCCGTCGTCTTGGCTTGCCTTCATGATCAATTCCACAAAAAAAAAAACAAAAAAAAAAAACATCTGAGATCTGTGAGACTCACTGGCCAATACGAATGAGAGATTTGTTTATGAGGGAAGGGGTTAGAAACAGTCCTCTTCAAACTTGGTTGATCAGTGTGCAGCAAAAGGGAAGGGTCATGGCGAATTTGGAGAATAAAGACAGGGAGGGGAAGAGAGGAGAGAGAAAAGGAGAAAGAAAGAGACAAGGAGAGAAGAGAAAATAAAAGAGAAATCTATTAGTGGACACGACCCACGACAGGCCACGTTAAACTGAGTACTGTGTAGGACAACAGAAACCTGAGGGAGAGATAGAGAGATTGTGCACATATATGCTAATGTGGAAATGGGAAAACATGGTGGGCGTTTGCAAGTAAAACAAACAGGTCTGAGGACAACCATTAAAATAGTATCAAGTAATGCGTGGGCGGTCATGCCTGTTGAATTAAGACTTTGAAATAAAAAATAAAGCCTGTTTAATTATGTTTTGGTCGGACTCCTGTAAATGTACCTAATAATTCTGTTTTAAAAAAATACATGAAATGCTATCATTCATGCAAAAGACATCCAATTAAAGGGCCCCACTCATACAAAAATTCAACTACATGCAGAACCAAAATACTGAAGACGTACAACACAATTAAGGCACACTAGTGATTGTAGAGATCCACAATACTAACAAAATACTACAAACACCTTATGATTGTACCTACCTGTAATGACCCCTGGGGCCTGAGCAGCCATGACGGCCTGTGGAATCTGGGGCAGATTCAGGCCCGTACCCCCAGCCATCGCCCCCAGAATAGATGCTCCCGCTACCGCTTCCTGGAAGAACAGAGTGGGACATATAGAAACACCGCCTGGACAGCGCCCGTTAAATGCACACATAACACCAACACGAGTGGACAAACAGACCTTTGCACACACAGACAAGCCTTGGGCCAGCTGCATAAAAATCGGCAGATGGTGTTAATGGGCTATTGAGAAATTACGATTTTTTTTGTCAGCATTAATTAATAAAATATATCTACATGTATTGTCCTCTCCATAGCAGAAGATATACTCAACATACATGCTCAGTTATACGCTATATATGCTCAGCTGTCCCTTAAGCCTTTGTACACAAGGTTTATTCCAACTCAAATATACTGTGTTCGAATATTTGAATATTCGATTGTTTAATTAACTGAAGTTTAACGAGAAAGACGTCTTTTTACAATCACTACGTTTTTTGTCACCATTTCTGAACAAGCTTATGATTAGGATATACACAACAAGCTAACATTATATCATGAGGTGTTTTTTTAAGCTTAAAACATTAAAGTGTGCATACAAAAATGAAATGAACAGAAGCATTAAGCTCACGCAGTGCATAAATCAGACTGTCAATTATCATACAGAATGTATATACACTTAAGTCAGCATATGGTTATCGTGTGTTTATATTGTTTCACATGTTCTTGAGAAAAACAAGTATATCTACATGCTCGGATGAAAGTCGGTTGTTTAGTCCGTCAACAATAAGGCCGGATGAGGAGAAAAAGCGCTCCACCAACAGATGCTGCAGGGACACAAACATGATAGTGTGCTAAGCGACCACGTTTCTTGCAAAGCTTTATGATTTCTGTCCCTGATACAAGTCTCCCTGAACAATGTTTCGAGATCATTTTGCTATTAGATTAGTGGTCTCCTAACTAGCTCTGGGGTACATCTGCACCTACCTGCATTTCTTATGATTACTTATCGCGTTGGTGATAACTCAGTTTCACCTCACAAAGTTCACTCCAAACATAACCATGCTGACAAAACTTTGCTGTGCCTAGAGGCAGACGACGCCATTCTGTCATCAAATGAGATAACTAACTGGATAAATCCACACTCCACAGCGCCAATCAGTGGTGCATTTTGTTATAACAGAATTTTAGGTTGCATGCTTAACATTTATCATGAATCCACTGCACTTATTGGCCAGCAAAGCAACATTTATCTAAATTCAAATAGTATTTCAAAATGTTCAAACTATTGCAGATCGAATATTCAAATATTCAACTTGGTGGATAGCTGATGACAATTTTTTTTAATCATCTTTGCCATCTCAGTAAAGTTTTTATTTTAAAATACATTGAAAAACAGTTTTAAATTGTATAAAAAAATAATAATGGTTTTTACTGTATTTATAATGAAATAAACGCAGCCTTGGCGAGCATTAAAGAGTTACCAATACACAAAAAAAATCTTCCCAACCCAAACTTTGAACAGTTAAATGTATATAAAAAATAAATTAAAAGCGAAAAGCTAACTGCTAAAAGACATAGAACGTTTCTTGACACTAAACACAATAGTGCAGTGTCTGTTGTAAAGGGTTTGCGCACCTAACCATTCAGGCATTTCATGCAACTAGGCCCAAGACCTGAAATAAAGGTCAAGAATATGTAACAAAACAAGCTAAATTTATTATTAGGAATCTGTATCAATTAAATATTACTTGTATATTTAATTTAGACACTGCTAAACAAGTTACATTTGCTTACACAATAAAAAATTGAAACTAAACTATGCATGAGACAACATAGAACAATTACATCACTGATCATACAGATTTACAAAATATTGAGTAGCTTAGTTTGCCAACTTTAGCATGATCTATGCTGTAGCATAGATGGCCATAAAATTAACTAAAATGGCAGTAATCCACAATAGAAAATGCCAAAATGTATTAAATCTCAGTATTAAAACAATAATGGCACACCTATTAACAAAGAACTATCAAGAGATAATAAAAGCCTCAAGAGATTAAGCAGACATCCAGAATAATAAATTCATCAATATGTGGGCCAGAACCCAGGTTACAGATAAGAGGCATAATGTAGCTAAAAAACATTGGCAGAGGTGCTCCTTAAAGTCACCTGCGACTAAATCTGCTCAGCTTTCAAGTATATGGGCCTGTCTAGAAAACATTCACTACCTAGCATCACTGTTACTGGGAGGTCTTGAAGACAAGTCTCTCCCCACACTCATATGCTACACAAAACAAAAAGGCACCAGCGTGCTTTGAACAGAATTTCCTGAAGGATTTACCAGACAGTTGAGGAAGTCTTCTGTCCGATTCTCCGGCTGGGACAGATTCCATGCCATCTGTTTTTGGAGTTTACACGCTATGTTATCTTTCTGCATGTAAAAGCTCGGTCTCAAATAAGTAATGTTGTGTCATAACTGAGTCTTCATGCCAGTCAATGCCTTAGCTGATTCAAATCAAGCCCTTACATACAGGACCAAGTGTCTGCACTAGCTTTGCTAAGCGAATTAAAATCACGCTGCCTTACTTTACAAAAGGAAGGCTTTTAAATGTCAAAGGTAGCAGCAGCTCACACTCACACACACTTTCCCTGACTAACAATAGATGAGTGAGGTGTATAAATGCTCACCTGTGCTGTGATTTTGGCAGTGGCGGCTGCGGCGGCTACGGCAGCAGCGGGAGGCAGTCCGCCCGGCGTCGTTGGAGTCAGGAGGGGCATCGGTGGCGTGACGGCTTTGCCCACTCGGAGGTACTGCCCACCCAAGTCGAAAAGGTTCATGGAGGAAACGGCATCCTGCGACGACTGGGCCTTGTCATATTCTACAGAGGAAACAGGGAGGACTAAGACTCAACAGCATCCAAGAAGACTCAGCATAAATCTACCAGAGCTCTGAGACAGTTACTGTGTAATTACCAGCGGGTACTTATGGCACAAATGTCCGTAACAGAGCCTAAGAAAACAACGACAACAGAAATAAAAACTTACTATGAAAGCATGTGAGGAACCTGCCCCCACCCTTCTCTATCCCCTGTGAGACATGTAGAGAACAGCATTCTGCCATGACTGACTGCTCTCAGTCAGATACATATATATTCATCCGAATAGGTGAAGCAGTCGCCCGCTCACCTATGAAGCCATAGCCTTTGTGTTTTCCCGTCGTGGGGTCCCGCGCCAGCATGCAAGACTTGATTCTTCCGAAGGCCTCGAACACGCTCTTGATGTCGTCGTCTGACAAGTCGGGATGCACGGATGCCACGTAAATCCGGTTGAAGGCGCGCGCTTCTTCGGCTAGCTGGTCTATGATCGGTTGAGCCTGACCAATGTTGCTCGGTCGCCCCACCTACAAGTGTTGAAACGCAACAGAAATAACACATCAGAACAGGATTCATTTTAAATGTCTAGGGGGAAAAAAGTTGGCTCACAACTTATTAAAATTAATTTTCACAGTGCTCACTTTAATGTTTCTTCCGCCCAGCATAACGGAGTTCATCTGTTCTAAAGCAAGCTGTGCTGCTTCTGGTACTTCATACTCAACAAATGCAAAACCCTGCAGAAAAAGCAGATTATCGTCAGTTTAAAAAAATACAGCAATAATCAGTAAACATAAAATGGTAATTCATAAAACCTCACAATTATTAAATAAGACCTCCTGACCTTGTGTTTTAATGTAACAGAGTCCCAAGACATGTCAATGCTCTTAATGGGACCGAAAGGAGCAAAGGCCTGTCTGATCGTGTCTTCTCCCAGCTCGTAGTAGATGGACCCAACATAAACACGGCACATTATGGCTAATGCTCGTTGCCTCTGTGCTGCAACCTGTAATAGACAACTGATATGATCAGATGGTGCCAAATCAGGAATCTGCTAATTCAAAATGTTTATTATTCATAAGCTTGTTCCACTGATTGAGGATAGAACCAGCAGACAATAAACATGCTGGCACCGAAGACATAGCACTGGCTTTTCTTTACCTCCAAACATTACACACATGAGTACTGAACAACCACATATATGCCAAGAAAAGGAGGGAAAACAAACATTTACAACTGCATTAACAAACAGAACAGGAATGAAGGTTGCACAGTTACTTGGAGAAACTGTGTTGGACTTACAGACTGTAGTGGTGAGAGGGGATCTCCAAACCCCATCGATAATGAGGCCATCTGAAGGGAATTAGGCATCTGTCAGGAAAAACAAACCAGCTTGAGTATTGTACCACAGTGGGATGTTGTCAGATGATTTTAGAAAGGGTCCTTCACATAACATTCACATTATGATACATAATTACAATCGTTTATGAATACACCAAGCATTAAAAGTTTAAAAATACTATTTCCTACGTTCTTGAGCAGTTTTACCTGTAGGTTGCTGAGCTGTTGCTGCTGATGGGCAAGGGTCTGTTTGACCAGGACGCTCTTGATGCTTTGTTCCATGGCATACTTCTTTGCCTACAATTGAGAGCACATAACACCAAATGAGTGTCCACTAAAGTAACAACTTCAAACCACCTCAGCAAGACCACAAATAGCCAGGCTAGATAGCTCTTGCTAGATATAATATTCAATTTTACAAGATGAAATTGTTAGTTCATTTGTCTAAACTATGTCAATAATAATATTTCACAAATTAGATAATTACAAAAAGTTAAATGAGAATGATCCCCCACTTTAAATAGAGTACCAGCAATTGAGAATAGTACTAGCAGATAATCAGACACCACTGAACTGAATTGTTAGTACTGAAGGCATAGCACTGGCTCTGTTCTTGTCCACTGCTTGCTTACACTCACCTAAAGGATTATTAGGAACTAATAATCTAAACTAATCAACTAATACTGTGTTTGACCCCCTTTTGCCTTCAGAACTGCCTTAATTCTACGTGGCATTGATTCAACAAGGTGGTGAAAGCATTCTTTAATGTTGGCCCATATTGATAGGATAGCATCTTGCAGTTGAAGGAGATTTGTGGGATGCACATCCAGGGCACAAAGCTCCCGTTCCACCACATCCCAAATATGCTCTATTGGGTTTAGATCCATTTTAGTACAGTGAACTCATTGTCATGTTCAATAAACCAATTAGAAATGATTCAAGCATTGCGACATGGTGCATTATCCTGCTGGAAGTAGCCATCAGAGGATGGATACATGGTGGTCATAAAGGGATGGATATGGTCAGAAACAATGCTCAAGTAGGCTGTGGCATTTAAACAATGCCCAATTGGCACTAAGGGGCCTAAAGTGTGCCAAGAAAACATCCCCCACACCATTACACCACCACCAGCCTGCACAGTGGTAACAAGGCATGATGGATCCATGTTCTCATTCGGTTTACGCCAAATTCTGACTCTACCATCTGAATGTCTCAACAGAAATCGAGACTCGGGCAAAATTGCTTAAATCACCTTTCTTTCCCATTCTGACATTTAGTTTGGAGTTCAGGAGATTTTCTTGACCAGGACCACACCCCTAAATGCAATGAAGCAACTGCCATGTGATTGGTTGATTAGATAATTGCATTAATGAGAAATTGAACAGGTGTTCCTAATAATCCTTTAGGTGAGTGTACATGTGCACAGAGCAAAGACATACTTATAAAGCTAGAAGACATGGAAAAAGAAAAAAAGAAAAAAAAAATTACAGAAATTTTGGCTTCAAGCTAAATGTGCAGATATCACACAAGGCTGCACTTAAGATGGCTCTTAAAGGGGTCATGAACTGGCTTTTTAAATTTTATTATATTGTTGTCTGAGGTCAACTTATGACGTTTGCTTGGTTTTTACATTCAAAAACATCAAAATGAATGAGTAATAGGCTATTTTCTACCCTAGCTTTGAGCCTAGCTCAAAACCGTTCGGTTTTTATGGGCGTCTCGCATTGAAGGCTTGGAAGTAAACGCCCACTGCTGTGTGTGGATAAGTTTTGCATATTATAATGAGTTTCAACTCACTCTGTGCACGTGGGGAAAATTGTTTTGAAAATGTCTAATGTTAACCGGAATGATTCTCCCATACACGTTCGACCCAGAGTCCGTGTGTTGCACCATTCCTGTCAGATCCAATATAGACGGCACAGCACTGTTACTTTTAATCGGTCTGCAAATCCAGTCTTGTTTACAAAACAATCCTCAGTGAAATGAAGAGAAAAAACAGACCATGGCTGCGTTCCAAACCGCATACTTCCCTACTATTTAGTATGGGAAAAAGAGTAGGCGAGCAAAAAAGTATGAATGAATCCAAAAGAGTAGGCGAGAATTACCTGGGTGACGTAGCAATTGTCGCGAGATTCGGACTTAAGTGCGTTCCAATATGCCTACTTTCCTACTATATAGTAGGCGAAAACAGTACGTGAAGGAAGCAGTACGTTCCAAACATCAGTTTTCATAAAAAGAGTAGGCGAGAAGTTCCCGGATGGCTTACTGCTTCCGCCCAGATTTTTGAGTGCTTTTCCACGGCTACTCATGATACTCATCTATCCCAGGAGGCCACGCGAGAGGATACGTCAATATCAACATCGCGGAGATAAGCGACGCGGGGGTTTTCAAATGTGAGTAAATACGGTTTAAATCGTAGCCTATGTGTTAAACTACTATAGAGTAAACGTTTTAACTGTTGAACGTCTAAAGGAGTTAGACAGTATAGTATAGTTGTGATTTTGCTGTAAACACATGTTTTATTATGTATTGATAACAGGGGAGCTCCAGTAACCGTAAAGTTACGTTTCCAATGTGTATTTACATAACCATACATCTTAAAAACGCTTATTTAAAATGTCTATTTACATCAGGAAGGAAAATATTGTATAAGTATTGCAGGTGAGCACATCCCAACATGAAAAATACATGTGTGTGCTATTATGTAGGATAATTCACTGTTGTCAACACTGCTTACATTAGACAAATTATGTGCTGTGAATAAAAACATATATAAAGTAACTAAACATGATATATATTTAATTTGTCCCTTATTGGTGTTGATATATTGAGGAACATTTAAGTTGGATTAAAAGTGAGTTAACACATCAACCTCAACATGTAAATGCAGTGTTGAGCTCGTAATGTGAATCTTGTCTGTATGTTACAGGGACAGGAGAACACGCGTGTGTTTATCCAGTGGAGAGAGGCTCATGATGCTGAATGCTGTCATCAAAGAATGGGAACCGCTGTGTTGAGTCGGCAGTAGGGTTTGGGGTTCAGTGCCTGTAAATACATGCTTGTAGTTTGAATAAAGCTGTTTCATGTGTTGACTTGTATATGCATTTGTTTATTGTGATGGTTACTTTTATTTACTTTTATTTGTTCTTTTACTCATTTATTCATGTTTCTTATTGTTGTCAGTATATAAAATGTAATTAATTTATGCATTAATTCATCGATTGACTGACAATTGAGATGTTTCACTGCATTTAGCAATATAAATGAATTCATGCATTACTGTCATATTACAAAACAAATGACATTTTGCTTGTTTTATTAAATTATATTTTTAGTATATAAAAAGTTATATAAGTATTGGTCAGCATTTAATATTATTATTTTGTTTAAGTTTTGGGGTGGGCTAACAATGAAATTCATTCTGAGGTAATATTAATTTTTAAGCAGTGATACTTACATTTTTGGAGTATAAAATCAACAGTTTTCTCCAAAAGAGATCTTCAAGCAGCTGCCCGTCTCCTTTGTGCAGACATTACAAGCGCTGTTCTAGGTTGTGCTGTCAAGTTACTGATGTTATGAAGTGTTAGAGCACCTGTCGCTCATATAATTTAAACTTATTAATATGCAAGATCATGGAAAGATACTATAGTTTATGTAACAATCATAGTGACAAAACAGAAAATATAAAGATCATTGGTTTGTGTACATCATAATATGACATAAAATTATATTTATACACAGGAAATAAGAACAATAAAAAAGGCTAAATATCTTCTTTATAGTTCTTCATAATACATAAAAAAAGTTGTTGTTATATCTGAGGGATGAAACGAGGTAAATTCATGAAGAAAAAGAGGAAAACTTAAAGGAGAAACTTTTTGGGTATAAAATAAAGAAATTAACAACATAATCAAGAGATGATGATTTTGGGGTTTCTTAATAAAAAAAAAGTATCGTTAGAATAACACTGTTGGTCAGTAGGGTTTAAAATATAACAACTTAAATCAACCCTAAATGTATTCACAAAATAAATAGGCAGCTGTTTCTTCAACAATACCACAACAAAATGAGCAAGTTTCATCAATATCAAGATATTTATAGGTAGATTAATTAAACGTATCGTTCATATTTTTTTTAATTGCATGAAGGTGTTGCGCTTGTGATAACGCGTAGTAGGTCACATGATAACGTCAACATGGCAGATGTCCGGTTCGCATTCATACTCAACGAGATTTGGCTATAAAGTACCTACTCTTTTAGCGCTCGATGAGTAAGTACTTATTGAAATTAAGTACCTACTCATTGAGTATGCGGTTTGGAACGCAGCCCTTGTTTTACCTCATCAGCTGGAACGTCATTAAAAATAAAGTTTATCCATGCAGTCCTATTGGAATACAGAGGAAGCTTATGCAGCGATTGTCTTCTTCCACAACCAGGCACTGCACAATATTTTGAATTGCTCGGTAGCTCGATCCGGATTGTCATCACGAGGTAGGCCTATGTTATTTAACTATGCGTGTAATGCACGAATCGGTGGGCGGGGCTAAACCGGCAGTGTTGAAGTAGGCGTTGATCATCTTCTGCGGGGGTGGCGTTTTATTCTCTTTGACGTCATAGTTCCCCACTTTGATAAATGAGTCCTTTGCTGAGCCTGGTGTCAATAAAAGCTTTTATTGGACTAACAAGGACATTCTCAGATCTGAAACTTACAGGATATTCTTATAATATGACCTCTTAGATGTCAAAAGCTCAAGAAAAATTTTATTTTCACAGTTCATCACCCCTTTACACGATACAACTATTTTTCAGTATGTACACTGATTATAGGTTATTCATTACTATTTTCATTTTGTGACAGCAAGAAAAAAGGCAGCAGAGGAAGCAAGTCTTTTAGCTCTTCATGCTGATTTCCTTAAATACCATTAGTGCACACCCCAAATCTCCCATCAACCTGATCATAGAACTAAGCAAGGTGTAACTAATCACAAACATATAAATGACGGCCCCTGTCTGGTACACTATCCCACTCTTAATAATTATACACAATTATTGATTTCAGTATAAATGTGCAGAAGTAGAAGTATCTGGGGAGTCTCACCCTTTGCAGCGCCTCCTGCTGTTCAGCGGTGAGTGGCGGCAGGCCGAGCTTCGAGGCTGTGCTCTGTCCATTCTCCATCATCAGAGCCTCGCCTCCCTGCACAGAGCACAGTCATCTGTCAGACCTGATGAATGCGAGCTGCAGCGAAACTGTACATTCACACTGGACAACTTCCTTACAGCTTTTAAAACCATCTAGATTAAGACCAAACTCAAATGGTATTAGTCATAATACATCAGGATACTTCTCTTTAACAAAATTTTTAATTATGCATTTTATGCTAATCATTTACTTTTTGATCTTTATAAATGCAATAAAAAAAATCAGTGTTGGGGCTAGTGCTGGAAAGAAATCTACATAATTAAATGTCAAATGGTTTTAGATAAACAAGCTTTTTCAAACTGCTTTCTACGTTTTGGATGCCTTCAGTGTAGCCTAGGACTTATCAAAAATACTGCTGATATAAAACCCTTCGGTATACATTCAATTTACAGGAGGATCCTCACAAAATTGTAAGGGGAACAAAACAAATACTTGGATTTTGTTATCAGGTTATATCTGACCATATAACCGTACATATACTAAAGTAATTTAGCCCTATCATTTTATACTACACAAGAGAAAACTTAAGTACCTTTGCTCAAATGAACTCCAGAGTGGTGCACTGCCCACCCCCCTTAAGGAGGTTTGAACCCAAAAAGTTCTGCCATTGGCTTTGGAAATATAGTACAACCAAGAGATATGTTCTACAGCACAGACAACACATAGAGAGAAATGACAAAAAAAGGAAAAAGGAAAAGAAAAACAAACCTACTTAGAAAAGTAGAACTGGGTAGGAAGACAACATGAATTCACTAACATCCAAATCCATGGAAAAAAAGAAAAAAAAAGTTGCCTCTAATGTAAAGGACCAAAAAACTAGACCGATTTTGCAGATATATCGGTTTCGGTAGTTGACTGGTGGAATTATCGTTATCAGCAAAAATCCACTCCATTATTTTTTCCGCGTTGCATCCATTGCAGGAACGGCTGAGAAGTGCGCATGGTCATTACACCTGACGAGCGCTGAGAAAAGACCGCTGGCATTATGCAGAGCGAGAGCGGCTTCTACAGGACAAATCATTGTATTTGTCCTCTAGATGCCATTCTCGCTCTGTATAATGCCAGCAGTCTCTTTAGCGCTTTGTCCGGTGTAAAGAGACGCAACCCGGAAAAAAATATCGTTGTGGATTTTTGCTAATAAATATAGTTCCACCAATCAACTATTGGTACCGATATATCGGCAAAACCGATGAATCGATCGACCACTACAAGTTTTACTAATCGTTCTAATTCCATGAGAACAAGGAAGTCCACACCACAGATAACACCGTGAAACAATATAATTGGAAGAGCTACAGCATTTAAAACATTAGATGAAATAACTGCAGCCCACACTTAAAAACAGCTATTATTTATAGCCATCATTCTTGGTGTGAACGAGCCTTTACTCATATTGTTCCAAATCCATATTATTTTCTAGAGTAATGGCAGATGTCAACATTTTCACTAATGAATTAAATTTGTTTGTTTTGCCATCAGAAGGTTTAAAATATAAAGGTTCGAGAAGCATGGAGTACTTCATGTCCTTGTTAAAGCTTGAAAGCAAGTCCACGACAGTTGTATGGAAAAGAGCAGCCAGGCCGATCCTCAATTTCTCCTACTGAACAAAGAAAGTCATACAGATTTGGAACAACATAAGCAAATCATCTTCATTTTTGGCTTAACTATTCCTTTAATATACTGAAAACAATCTCCATGAATTTTAGTGCAAAAAACACGAACACTGCTCGTATTCATACAAAAACGAAAGGACGTCTGCTACCAAGAAGGTATAATGGGATTGATTGACAAATAATGAACAAGATAGTGAAAGTGTGTGACTAATGACTATGCAAAAAACTATTTACCGTTCGTTTACCGCTCTGATGCATTTTCCATACATACTGGTGACATTTGAACAAAATATTACGTACGTACAGGTTGCCAAATGCAACCTTTTCTTGATCAATATTTAAAGAAGAAATAGGACACATCGAAGGTGCTTTGCAAATCCCTTTTATGACAAAGGCTAATTGTGGTCTCGGGGTAAGCAGTGGATTGACCCCTTACCTAGCGCCTGCTCTCCGCTGAGGTGTCTTGTGAGATTATATATGGGGGAGCTTTTACGGTTCAAAACGGAGTCTATAAGGAAAGAGAGAGGTTTCAGTAAACTCATGTACACTGTGCCCACTTGCCAACTTGTATGGGTGAATTTCATCTTATCATAGCATGGGTTTTTTTGAGATATCTGCAAAAGATTTGTAGAAGGTGGATAGACTAATTAACTTGTACATGCAGTACTGTACTGATTTACAATACCTAACGTTGACAGAGTAAACACTGACTAGCACGCCAAAAAAGCAGCATTCAATAAATGCTGAATGTGTAACGTTAACGTTATCCCATTCGTTCTGACCTAGCATGAGGCCTTATATATCATGTAGGGTTAAACTGTATTCAAGAAGATATTGAATACATCGGTGATGCACATTTTTTTTCAAAAGCGAGTTGCACCTGCAGTGCAACCAAACCTCGGTGTAAAACACGGAAACAGAGCACGAGCAGCAGTGAAGTGGATTCAGCTCATGGAGGACAATGTGAACGGGTTAACGCATTAGCTCATGTAACTAAACGTTTTAGAAAGCGAGTAAGCGCATGCGTTTAGGTTATTATACTAGTAATAACCCGCTAAAAACAACCGTTCCAAGTAAATCCTAGCGGTCAGAAATGACATGGTCAGTCGAACATTATTAAATAATCACTGTTTCAAGAGAGACACGCAGCAGCAGGCCGGGAAGAAAATCCCGCTCTCAGTGCGCTAAGCTAGTTAGCCATAACCCTGTACATCTAGCTGTTTTAAATTAAATCTCTATCCGGACACATTACTATATGCACATAAAATAATACTGTGTTTATATTAAGAGGGAAATTAAGCAAAATATTACATTTACCGCTGAAACAGCCACCGCCATTGAGCACACCTTCCAGCACCAACGTCCACACCGCGAGGAAGACTATAAAATCTCGCGATATCGAGAAAGCGCGTTAGGTAAGAGGCGCGCAGCTGCAGTGTGTGTGGCCGATCAGGCTTTGATTGGAGGAGGAGAGCATCTCGGACCTTAAAAAGTACGTTCGAGGGGCTAATAAAACATTACTTTAAAGTTTTCTTGTAATAATATGTGGCACCACTAATAAGACGATGCCAAAACCTGTTTTATAAAAGTAATTTTAGTCTGGACACGTAAGGCTACATAACAAAAAATGAACAAAACCAATAACAACAAAACTATTAAATATGTCCATCACCAAGAAAACAAAATGAATACACATTGTGAACAATTATTATTATAAAATATACTGTTTGGCATTAAGTAGCCTATTATATGATTTTTAGCATGCAACAGTAAAAACAATTGTGAAAAAAACGAAATGAATTATGTGATTCATATTCATACATTAAAAATGTTTTAAATTTATTCAAAATATTTATTCAGAAAGTTTTATTAAGCTCTATTTTTACTCATTTAAATATTCTTAATTCATAATATGAACAACATGTAAGGGTTATTCAAATTATGGAATTTAAACAAACTGACATGAAAATCCCCTTGTCCCCAGAGCACCATTAAATGTTTCAGTTAATATACATTCACTATTAGACCTTTTTTTTATGTATAAACATGAATAAATTCAGTCATATTAAAGTATTAATAATATATTTTAATGTTATAGTATTTCATGTCACAGTATACAACTTCATCACAAAAAAATAAAATAAAAACTGCCCAAAACAGAAGTCTGGTTAATGCATTTGATTCAGATGAGAAAGGAGATCAGGAATTAGGAAGATTACATTTTAAATGCTGCTCACTGTACATTCATATATCTCTCGTATATACATACAAATGAATCACATTGCAAGACATTTAGTCTCTTAATAACACTTGGAAGATGGTGAATGTTTTTAAATGACATCTGACTCATTTGAATTTGCAAGAATAAATGGAGATTAGAAATCTCTTGCAACGGCTTTCTAAAGCTGCAATACATCCATGCCTATATATCAAAAATTAAAAATGCTGTCAAAGCATTAATTTCCTGACATGCATATACATTTTTAGGGGATATTGGGAAGTCAAAGCCATTGGAGAACATAGTACTGAAAGCATCCCTAAAATATTGCTCTGGACGGCATGGCAACATAGATGTTTTCACAGAATATGCAAGTGTCAGTCAAATACAGGACAAGTTGTATTTGCAATGTTCTTGCCATCACAGCACCCAGTACATATTTGGCTTTGACATGGTTCAAGTTCTCATTTGCATGTAGAATACATAGAAAGTAGTGTATCGTTCATTTTACATGACATAAAATACACACATAATGTGGTAATAAGTAAATGCCTAATAGAATAACAGCCCTTCATACCCAAAGGAGGGATTTATTAAAGCAAACCTTTGTTTCAGTCAATGGTCAGTTTTTGTATTTTATCATAATGCATTAATCAGTATAAGAGACAAAGAAACAGATAAATGTTAAACACCTCTGAGCAGTCAGCTGATCTAAGATCAGCTCATATTCACATTAAGAAGGCAAATAAAAAAATCCCATGATAACACTGTTAGTCATGAACAGGACCCCTGTGTTAATGAACCTATCATTAGCTGCTCAAAATGCTTTTATGATTTATAGAGTTTGTATCAGTCGCTTTGGTTAAAAGCGTCTGCTAAATGAATAAAAGTAAATGGATTTGGAGTTCTATTCAGTTTTTTTTTTCCTTGAGTCATCTGGATGAAGTGCTCTTCTGCTTTACTGATTAAAAATGAGGAAATAAAAGATCAAACTTCACTTAGGCTGCATTGATTTAATCAAAGATAGAGTAAAAACAGTAATATTGTGAAATATTATTGTTATATATTTAAAAGCGTTATTTATTCCTGTAATGGAAAAGCTGAATGCTCAAGATTTCTTGTTTGGTGCTCAAGTAAGTCATTTCTTATTATTATATTGTTGAAAACAGTTGTGCTTCTTGATATTTTTGTGTAAACTGTGAATTTCTTTTTCGGGATTCTTGAATAGAAAGTTTAAAAAAAAACAGCATTTATTTCATATGAAACAATGCAAGTCTTTACTGTAATTTTTGATCAATTTAATGCATCCTTGTGGAATAAAAGTATTCATTTCATTCATAACATAAAAATCTCACTGACCCCAAACTTAAAAACGGTAGTGTACCATTCCAGGATAGCATTATTGCCACGGTTTACAAATATTTGCAAAGTTCATTACCGTCTGCATGAGTAAAGCTATTGAGATCACCATAGTGTCATGGAAGCAATTCAGAACAGACATTTTAAACTCTGTATGTATAAGTCACTCCACATTAAGAGCAAGAAATGAAGTTGAGGGTCTTAAATAAAAAAAAATTAAAAAAAGAGAAATATAATTATAACAAGAGCACTTGTCATTGTACTGTACATTCGTCTGCTCAAAGTCAGCCTGTTAAAGCATACAGAATAAGATAATATAGAAATGTAGAATTAAACATTTTGATACATTTTCCTTTTAAACATGTATACCAAGACCTTCTAGTACTTGTTTAAAATAATAAATAATACATTTAAGTCTAGAACAAACATGCTCCAATCATATTGCCTGATGGCAAATATTTCTTAGACACTTAGCCTCCTCCCTCAGGTTCCCAAAGCTCTTTCAACCTAAAATCATCAGTTTGTGTGAAACTTTGTCCTTCGCTAGATGTTGATTATGCCATAGACACGATGACTCGGAGAGATGTTTTAAAAAAAATCTGTGAATCAGTCTGTGAAAAAAGTCACAACCCAAAATGCTGGCACTGAAGGCAGAATCTCTGCAAGTAATGGAAATGTATTTCTTCGTCATGGTAAAATGACATCAGTAATTTGAACTTCAAGATTTAAGTAAACAGTTGGAGCTCTTTGGAGTTTGTGCAGGTATCATGCTGTGTGACGAGCTTTCTCCCCAGGCCCATCGCTTATTCTCAATTCATCTTGTCATGACCTTCATTATGCAATATTGCATTTTTGGTCTCATTTCCCTCTAGTCAGTCTGGATCTTTTGCTCTCTCTTTTTCTCAAGCTCTGGCCCAGTCTTCAGGCACTGTGTCTATTCTAGGACCAGCTGGGCTTAGTACATCACAGCCATTGCAGTAGGGGAGGTGGACGTCCCTGACCAGTGCTTACATAATGCATCCTCAAGAAAACATGCCAACTTTTCGCAGTCTTCCTGCAGGACACAGAAACCAGACAATCACATTCACACATAAAGCAAAACTACACACGCTATGTTTTTCATTCCTGTATATTGTGTTATGAATCTTAAGTATTATGCCATGACTAAATTAATTCCTCAGATAAACTGCTATATTAACCTTTTCATTTATATGCATCTCATTCTTTTTTTCTTTTTTACCATGGCAGTGATGCATATCTTCAAATAGTCATTAGGCTTATCACTACACTAAAATGTTATAAATTAAAAGAAAACCTTAAAGGTCCTCTTCATCACAAATTCCAAACTTCCAAATTCCATTTTAAACTCCAACATTCAATTATCCAACTTACTTGACTCACATGTATACACCGTATAATTACGTAAAGCTAAATATTGCAAATCTGCTTGTTTATATTGCCACAAAATGTAAACCATACTGGTGAAATATTTAAAGATAAACCTACTTATACAATACACTCATGTAGAGCACATATAACAAATCTCAACTGCCTGATTGTTTAGATCCTTCTTAGGTGGGTAGATGCAGTCAGTATGGACTGCACAAAATACAACGAGAGTTAGAGGTGACTGAGTGGGGCAGTTTTATGTGATGATAAATCTAACATTGAGGCTAATTTGATCTGTTATTGTGTTAATTTTGTATTGTTATAGTATTTGTATTGTATTTTATTGTATTATTACTGGTAGACAGGTGACAGCTTCGGTTTTCGGTAGCTAATCGTCATACACTACGATACGAGTACTAAAATCAGCTGACATCTGCCAACTGGATGGAATCATAATCTGAAGCTAAAAAGATTGAGTCTGTGAAATTTGTCAACTCCAACAGCTCAAAACTATTTTCAACTTATATCGACTGCAAAACGAGGCAAAAATCTGAACAAAGGTAGTTTAGAGTATTCCAGCCTAAGATAAATAATAAAGCCTGATGGTTAGATGGAAGAACTCATGCTTACCTCACTGATGAAAGCATGGTGAACCAACTCACTAGCCAAATCTTTGGGACTGTCAGCTGTGGAAAAATATATAAAAAGGGGATATTTTAAAATAATAATAATAACAAATTATACATACATACATATATACACACACACACACACACACATACTCATTTTTATTTATTCTTTAATTTATTAACTTTTTTATTAAATTCTTGTATTTATACAATTTATACAAAGAAAAGAACATATTTGAATGTAATTACTTACATGGCAAAACATCACAGCTAAGCTGACGGTGAAGTCTATCATCCATCTTTAAAAAGAGAGAGAGCTACAGAGAAAGAAAGGATAGATTATGCACAATATTTACAGAAGCCAAGTAAAACTGCAAGCCAAAATATTTTTTACTCACATGACTCCTTGTGCCTTCCTCATTTGCTTCCAGATTACATTGGATCTGTACAACCTGTACAAAAAAAAAAGCCAAACACATTAGGTATTTAAGAGGACAGAATTAACAATAACTAATAGAAAGTAACTAAAATACTGTTTGTACATGGATGAGATGCATTGATCACCATTTCTGGGAAATGTTGAAAAAAGTCAGCTTTTCAAATTGACCCTTGCTCATCATCAGGGTCATAACTGGACACACTTCCCATTAGTCACCCAAACATTTGTTGGCTAATATTTAGATTCAAAAAATACAACACAGCATTTCAAATGAACTGTTTTTAACTCAAAGGAACTGATTCACTAACATATTCAAACTTCCTAAAGCTTCATATGAGGCATAGCATCACTACTTGTGGTTAGTTACTCCCAACACTGCTTCTAACATAAACCTCCTTCTAACCTTTCTGGTTTCAGTCTCCAGTGGTTCTGGGGTCGGGGTCTTCACAGTCTCCATCTGTTCCTGTGACAAAGAAAGAGCGCGGGGGATAGGATGTGGCCGCTGGGAAGCAAAGTTCATCAGGGGATATATGCCATTTCTGTTCATGCAGAAGAGGAAAGGTTTCAAATCCACAAGCATGGAAACAAACACAGTCTAAATCAAGGATCAGCTGATCTTCTCTATGACTCACTTCACATCCTCAAGAAATTTGTCCAATTCCAGAGGTGATACGTGAGAATACCTTGAAAAAAAAGGAGGAAAAATGCCTAAACTTGGGAAACAATCACAGAAGAGAAACATTTCGCTTCACATTTTGTTTGAGAAACTCACTTTAAATGGACTCCAGGTCGGTCACGATGATTAATCTCTGCCATGATACCATTAGGGTCAAAAGACTTGGTCTTCTCTTCTACACAATTCTCAGGAAGGAGATCTGGAAAAAATTTTAAAAAAAAGTTTTAAGAATTAAACCAAAGAGGAATGGAACAACAATTCCCTTTTGGATGATTGGGCCATTCATAACATTTCTGTTATTTCTCAGATCAAAATCAAAGCAATATTACTGTATGGTTTCAGGAAGGCATGAACAACAATGTCTTTTTACATGTCCCACTTACACTGGTTATTGATAAAGCAATGCGCAGCAAGCAGTTTTAAGGAGTGGACCTCAAATAACACTCTGTGGAACAGCAGGTCATGAGCCGTGGGTCTCAACTTGGTTTCTGTGCGTACACACGACTGGATAAATTCCTGTCAGTGTGAAGAGATAAAGGCATTCAATTAAACAAAAAGAATTAAGCAGAGCTGTTTTACTTATAAACATTATGTCTTTATGTCTTTTACCCTCATGAGAGGATCCTCAAGTGACTTTCCAGCATGATCAACGGCCTCTTTCAAAACTGCTGAGTCTCCATTGGCCTGGATTTCCAATACTGCCATCTAAAGGAGAATGGGGAATACAACATTAAAGGTCATAAATCAGTGTTGATTAAAATAGTATTATTTATATATTTATTATTTTAATTTTCAGACCTCCAAGCCACAGATACCAAATGAAAATATATCGATGGCATAGTCATCTTCAGCAACTGGAGAAGAAGAAATATATTGATGTATATTACAAATTATAAGCAAAACTATTTTTCTTTGTTGAACAAAAAAAATATATTTTACAAGTTTAAATAAAACATTTCCAGTTCGCAAAAGGTGTAAAAATGGTAAAGGCATCAGATACTTACTTCCATACTCTGGAGCAAAAAAATGCTGGTTCCGCATTTCATCTCGATGTTGATGCACATTCCCATGAATCGCCTCAGCAAATACTAAGTGAAACGGAGACAACATTAAAATTAAACTCTATTTATAACATTATATGGATGGAAGAATTTTAGCCAGTAAACATAAATAGATAAAATGTCTAGCACATGAGCTAGAGTCCAAAATAAATACTCTGAAGGGGGATGTGGGTCTTATTTTCTTTCTTTATGTCTTAGATTGTCAAAGCTGACAAGAAAAGTTACAGTGCATTACACAACTGCCAGGATTTTGGGCCAATATAAGCAAAGCATTGTTTAAGGAAGGAAGGAAAGAAATAGTCTAAGTATGGCCTGTGTTTTCATTCTGTTGAGATAACCACATTCATTTGCACATGGAGCTCAGAGTGGACTCACCATTTACAAACAGCCTGTGCCAAACTGTGAACGAAAGAAGAGACATAAACATCTATGTTAGAGATGATCAAAAAGTCAAATAATTTTGAGCTCAAAGGGATGGTTCAACCAAAAATGAAAACTATGTCATGAATCGTGTCGTTCTAAACCCGTAAGCCTAAATTAAATCTGTTCACCATATAAAGCGATTGCGTCTCTTCAAAAAATTTGGAGTAAACCATTCTTTCTACAGTCCCTTTATAACATTTTTGAAGCATCAAACTGGTAGTCAATGGAGAGTACAGAAAGCTCTTAGATTTCATCAAAAAGAAAAAAATCTTCATTTGTGTTACAAAGATGAATACAAGTCTTACGCGTTTGGAACAATGTGAGGGTGAGTAAATGATGACAGAATTGTCATATTTGGGTGAACTATCCCTTTGAATAAAAGGTAAAAGACTATTGTCAAACCTGAGCCGATCTTTATGAGGCCGTTGTGCTGAATGAAGATGGTGTCACAGGTCAGGTTACCGTGGATAATGGACGGATCACATGAATGCAAGTAACTAAAGAACGAAAGGATAAAACTTCAGTACCCACAAATTACCCACACAAAAAAAAATTGTTTAAAAAACAATAAATTAATAAATAATTTTATTGTAAATATAAATGTAATATTTAAATGAAAGTTGCAAAACATTGCATGTTTAAAAATTTGAAGAAAAAAAAGCCCAAAACAAAACATTTATAATTAAAAAAAAATAATAATAATTTTTTTTTTTCAAATAAAAAAGTTTTTCTTTATTTCTAATAAATATAGAGACAATTTTTAATTTATAAGAGAATTAAAATTGTATTGGTTTAAAAGCTGAAGTGTGTAACTTTTAGCGCCATGAAAATTTTTTCCTCAAACATTCCCCTCATCTGCCATTGGCCAAACAAACAGACAGCCCGCCTCCAAACGGCCACCATTGGTTGAGTCAATGTTGCTATGCTAAAATGCTCAAGATGTTCAAACAAACAAGTAATGTTTTGGTAGCCACAGAGCCACCGTGTTTACACTTTTGTACAAATCAACCTACATATAACTGTCTCTGTATATTAAACTGGGAAAATATTTTTAGTTTACCTACACACTTCAGATTTCACAGCAAATTTGCAGATGATTTCCAGAATCAATATTGAATTCTCAATGTCCTACCTGAGTGCAGAAAGTATCTGCGTGCACCAACGCTTCCATGCCTGAGACACACAGAAAGTACCAGTGTGTTAAGTGTTTGTCATATTTCTGCCAGAAGGTGGTGTAGTCCTCCAGCTTTTCACTTTCAATGTTCGATGAAACGTCTCACCTTCACATTCATAGTTTTGTGGTTTTTCTTTGTCTTCTTCAAAAACTGCTTGAGACTTCCAGATGACATATATTCAGTGATAAAAATCACCTGTGTGGCACGAAAAGAAAGAAAACATGAATATCTGAATTCAGGGCAAAGTTCACACAACCGTTTGCTTTTATCAGTTGAGTTTTGAGACTCACCCTCGCTCTGCTCTCTCTCATGTCCAGCCAGTACTTGTGAAATTTTACGATATTCGGATGCTCCACCTGCATAAGGTTCTCAAACATCTCTCGTATCCGCTCCTGCGTAACACAAAGTACATACACGCTTGGTTTCACATTTCAAGCATTTTGTCTGTCACCGTACCACCATTCCAGAATGATGACGTTCCAATACAGTAACATTTCACAGATGTTTGTGGTGTAGCATGCCAAGTATCCCTCCCAGAATACTGATGTTGGAAAACAAGCATGGTCCGACTCCTACCTCAAAGGACTTGAAAACCTTCTTGTCTGAAAACTGCACTTCATTCCACACCACCTCCACCCCCTCTTCAGTGTCCATGGCCAAGTACGCACTCTCAATGCCTGGGACATTTCCTTGACTGACCTAAACCAGAGAGAGGGAAAAGAGTGGAAAGAGAGTTTTAGTGCTGCCAAGTTCAAACAAAGTACCATTTAGCCAGTGATATCTGCAATATTTACTTCATATTGCACAACTTTGTACAATGTTTGCGAACGTGATATTTTAGTATCAACTTCTAGGTATTGTAAGTACAGGAAATTAGTATTTCTGTGAAAGAACACCCCCTTCTCCACCCCCCTGCTCCACAACTCTCCCATGGTGCAAGTTGTGGTTTGGGTTGTGATGGTCGAGAATGAAAACACAGCCTTTTAATGGCCTGTAAATTCTTGTCTGTTTTGGTCTTTGTAATGCTGTAAATGAAGTTCACAAAACCGAAGAGGGTACACTGCTGTTTGCTCACCAAACACTTCAAGTCTCCACCTTTTTTGGACCGAACCAGACCTTTTATTATCACAACTGTATAAAGGAAAACAAACCATCCAGGGTTTTCATATTTTGATTTTCTATATTTAAAGCCTGAATTTGCTCCCCTCCAGCAGATCATTGAAAACAAGTTATGTGTTTTGGAGACAGACACAACATGAACCAGTCACGCTGAGATACAGCTGCCCTCTAAAAGGCCTTGGATGGATTTAACTATCTCAGATTTAAAAACATGACTACAAATTGATAATACTGTTTGGTAGGTTTAAACAAAGAGCTTTTTCATTTGTCAGGGCATTCAGGAACAACAAAATAGGAATAGAACAAGCTGTACATGTTAGGGAGTCATTATAATGTTTACTACACTCGCTAAATAGTATCAAGTAGCAATTCAAGCTCAGATAATGTGCTTGATTGATTACAATATCCCTATAAAGTCTATGAAGGTTCATCTTAAAAATTTTTATTTTGGTATTACAAGCGCATTGACTTGTCACTTGCCAGTCGCCATAGTGTTCCAGGCTCAGAGGTTAAAAAGTGACCATTAAAATGACAACCTCAGGGCAACCGTAAAACAGAACTTTTACTGATAATGACAGAGCACAGAAAAGCTGGGTTATGTAAGGCAGAGAACACAAGGACACCAAAAACATGTCCGACTACATTTGGAGTTAATTCATTCCCTAGATGCTGCACAAACAGAAAAGGAATGTCTTTGAAAACAAATTAAAAAAAAAAAACTTTCAAGTTCTCCTAAGAGTATCCTTCTGCCCAGCTGGCGACTACAAATTATGGGCAATCAAAGGCGGCTGACCCTGGATAAGTATTGAACCTCAGCATGCTCCAGTGACGTATATATAATGTTAGTAGGATTTATCAAATTATGGTCTATTAGCCATGGTGCATTTTAAATCAATGTTTAAAATGCAGTATGCATATGGGTTGTTGATGATGTCTACTTTATCATGCCCTAAAACTATTGCAATGTTCTAAAATTAATTAATTTAGGAGCATTTTTATACAGAACCAGTACCAAAAAAAAAGGGAATGGAATGACGTCCAGTTGAGCTAGAAAGATAAAGATGGCGTCTGAAAGTTGCGGCTGGTCGTCAAGTTTGTGTGTAAATGTACATTTTTGTTCAACGTGTTTCACTTATGTCATTTCTAGAAAGAAATTAATATTTTAGTCATTAAATATTCACTTAGTTTTCTCCATTCTCCAAAGCTCGCTCTATTTTGCTGTAGATCATTAAACCTCTACGCTACCCTAGCTAGAACGCTGTCTGAAATCAGTTTCGTGAGGCACCTTCGTGCGCAAACACTGCCTGATAGGCCAACGAGGAATCAAATCAGCTGCCAAAGCTTTCAGACACAGCCCTGAAGTGATCAAACAAAGTCTGATTCCCGAACACATGGCTCTTATGAGTCGTTTCTTTTAAGTGACTCGAAAACATAGGGCTACACTATGACCAGTGTAATCCGATTCTTGAACAAATGACTCTTTTGAGTTCGTTGTTTAAAAAACAAAACAAAATGTAATCCAATTGCCAAACTAATTACTTTTAGGACCAGATTCATTTAGATTACTCAAAATCAAACTTTGTTATTAGTGTAGGTCTACTCCAACTGAACAAAAGACTCTTATGAGCCAATTTTTTTAAGTGAATCAAAACACAGAGTGTGAATGAATGATTCTTATAAGCAGTTTTTTTTTTAAGTGAATCAACAACATACATTGTGACAAGTGTAATCAGATTACTGATCGAATAACGTATGAGCCAGTTCTTTTTATAGCCAAATCAAGAACTTGCAGCACAGGCAAAAAAAACAGCTGATATAAATCTCACAGTCAGTGCTTTTAAAATTCTTTCTGACATGAACCACATGAAAGCTTTCCCAATGAAAACAAACATTACGATCTTCATTTCCTGCCCTTTCATCCCCTAACCTGCATCTGTCACAGATCCGTTTTCAGCTGTATTACCTCCTCCTGCATAAATTATGTAAGAAATCTAATAAGATGTTCTGTGGAACCACTTTCATCTCTGGAAACCTGACCCAGAATGCTTAATTTTCTCTACTACGTCCTATTAAACATCTGAGGATTAACAGAGAGAAAATGTGAATGGCTTGCATGCATACTTGAATGAATCAGAGCTTTATATCCAGGTGCAGCTTTTCAGATATACAATTATCATCAAGAATGGTGCTTCAATTCAGCACACTAACCCCAGATGCATACTGGGCCCCATAGACGGGACTTAACATTTTGTCTGGGTACAAAGAAGAGCCTCACTCTGTGGCATCAGGTCACCTTTCTCCATTCAAAAAGGTAGCCACCCCATAGACCACTGATTTTAACTGACATACAGGAGAAAATCATGTCTGTACCGTAATTTTGGAACAAAATGGTTTGTGTAACACTCTTAGCAGGAGAGAGACCCATTCCAGATGTTCCAGATGTGAAAATAAGCAATCCTTGTTAGCTAAAGTGTCAGTGTCACTCAAGACCACCAAACAGCCTGAGGGGACCACATACTCAGGGGTCTGGGGGCGGAGATGAACACATTGCATGACAACATGAAAGAGAGATACAAAGGTGCTTCTCTGCATTTTTGTGGTAAAGCTTTCCAAGAATTGAGGAGTTGCCTAAGATGAGCAGAAATGCTGGTATTCGCCTCTGTCATTCACCGCCCACTATTTTAAAGGAAAACAAGCCACTTTGACCCCCAGAGTGTTTGATGCTATCAATTTATGAGCTGACAGAAAGTAATAAATGGCCCCAAAAAAAAAAAAAAGTCGAAGAACCACTGCATTAGCATCATATATTTTATGGAACTGTTGTGCGATCAAGACCTGTCTGGAACTACTTTAGCCGCGCGTTTTCCTGAAAATAATTGCACACCTTAGGCTTAGAATGTCCGTCAACCAATCAGAATCAAGCATTCAACTGCCCCATAGTAAAAACACAGCTGCACGATCACAATCTCAATTCAAAAACCTACACGATCTTATTCCTAAATGACAACAATTCAGCTATTTAAACCTTTGATACGTTTGATCACTGCGAAACATTCAAATCTGCGTTCGCACTGCCGTTGACACAGAGAGAGCAGTTGTCATGAAAGGTTCTTAGATTAACTGCCATTTTGAATTTAACCAATATCACACAATGTATAAAGGTCAGATTTCAAACTTTTCACAAGTCAACTTTATAAAAAAAATGTGTACACTGAAAGTATTTTATCAGAAAGACGTTTCATCAGCTGAACAGTCGAATTGTTGTTAAACAACAGTGCAATCCATTGAATGCACTTCATTCTGTCCCTCACAGCCTCGTTTTCATTCCTGTCAAAATAAAAATGGCACTACCCTGACTAAGGTCTATGGGTATGAAACAGCTTAACAGACTTTAAAAAAAAGTATTTAACCACACAGTATCATTATTACAATAATTCAAATCATCATCTTAGTACTAGGACAAATGTTTACAGTTAGGATATAGACACTGATGTCTACGGTAGCAAATCAACCTTTTGAAAGTAATGTGACACTTCAAATAAAGATTAAATTAATTGCATCATTACACCAATAGTTTTATGACTAGAGTGTTTTGGGTTCAAGTATGTGATATAATATCACACATTCATGGAATTGATTTTCCAGTGGATCCAGAGGTGTGTTTATAAGGTAATTTTATCCAACTCTAACCTCCCACATAGTTCAAGCTATTAAGCTTGCTGAAATGTTGTTGATAAGAGCTAAAAGATAAGTACATTGCATTAAAATGGAAACAAGACATTGATGTGCTAGAGATCACATATTCAATGACAGGCAGAGGTGAATTATTTTATAAAATCTAGAAAACCCTTTTTGAAATCTATTAAAAAAATTGACACATGATTGATTTTCAATCAGTTGATCTAAGTGTTGATTTTAGATCTGATTTGTTGATCTAACTGTTGATTTTCAGTTGATTTTCTAACTGTATTGTATCTCCCTTATTCCTTTTTTGTGTGTATGTTTTTCCTTTGTGTCTTGTCTGACGTTCGTTGGTATTATTGTTATATATATATAAAAAAAAAAAAAATAATTCAATCGTTCAAGACGTTCATTTAAAAACGCTGATTCATCCAGATGAAAAAAGTGAAGTCTTCAGGATTGAGTCATTGAATCTTTAATTCAAACATTAGTTACATATTTTAAATAGACTGCAGCAAATAACGGTTTGTCAGAACCTCTTGTAAATTATGCATGTTATTTTGTTTAATTGTCTATTCAGAATCATGGGAGATTTTAAACGAAAAATCACAATTCTCAATTTATCCAGCTCTAGTGCAGTGTGAAACCTTTTTGGATCTTACAAGGATTAAATGCTAACCCAGGGTTTAATATGAACAACATATACAGTGTACACACATACATACTTAATGGTTTTTCAAACATCAAAAACAGACAATAATAGACAGAAAGACCCTTCATATAACAAAAATCTGTACAATATGCAAAATGAAACAAATAAAACTAAAGGGAAGGATGACGCTATACAAGGCCAACCTCTCCAACAAAGTATAGTTACAATATTTACAAAAAGTAAATGTGAAGAGTTCAGATGCAAAAGCCTCTAAATGCCATTTGAAATTTTCTTCTTTAATGATGATTTTTATCAAACTTGTATATTTAAGTTCAGTAATTTCACTTAATTAACAATTAATAGGTAATTATCATTGCTATTTAAGTGAAATTACTGAACTTAAATATACAAGTTTGATAAAAGTCATCATTAAAGAAGAAAATTTCAAATGGCATTTAGAGGCTTTTGCATCTGAACTCTTCATGTGACAAATCTGAAAAAAAAAAAAAAAAAATCCTTGTCCTTGTGGCTAGATAAATAAAAACTGGTTCCCACATTTTGTTGAATTTTTCAGAATTCCCAGAAATGGTGTATCTAATTGTTTCCATGCGTAACGTAGAAGTAAATGGATAGCCAGTCAGAAAAGGGGGGCGTAGTATTTTTCTTCCACAAAAGCAGGATAACTTTCTAAGCTACTGTTATACTATATTGAACAGGTAATCGTACCTTTGGCCTGAGAGACTCGAGTGAGTATGACCAACACAAGGGTCTTGTTAATCATGGTTTAAAAATGACTAGTTGAACATTTCCCTTAAAGGGGTGGTTTACTGCTTTTTTTCTTTGCATGATTGTGTATATGGGGTGCAATATAACATGTCTTCATGTTTGTTTGTTTTTAAAAAGCCTTATTTATCATAAATTTCCCTTTTATTGTAAACCGCTTTCTCCTCTGTCATTTGAAAGACCGGTTGACTATGAAACCACTCCCCCAGAAACAGGCAATGGGCTCAGATTGGTTAGTTGGGCCGGTGAGTTGAGATTGGCTAAACTGCGAAGTGCATGTTGTCCAGAAACTTCACGCCCATTACCTTTAAGGGCGAAAGTTGCATGTGCTCCAGTCAATGTAAATGGTGTCAATACTGCCGTATCAGTTTGAGCCAGAATCAGACCCAGAAACCGGCGATGAAGAGAGTCAAGCAGAACCTCCCCAAACACGGCTCTTACAAAACGTTTCTGAATGGTAATTTTTTTATTATTATTTATTATATTTATTTGTTATATTTATTATATATTATATTTTTGTTATTACACAGCACAGAGAGCTAAATTGCGATAGTAATTTTCAGGAACATAATCAAACATAAATTTTAGCCATTGTTGACGAACTACAACGTCCGTGGGAAGCCCGAACACAGAAGTCCTGACAGCTGGCTGAAAATAACACACTTTCGACAGCAGAATATGGCTACAGCTCTCCACTATTGCTCTTCCTCTCCGACAAAGCCGCAGAAATATGGTCATGCCCTAAATTTTAAATTTAAGGAAATTTAAATTTAAGGGTTAGTTACATATAAAAACCAGGAAGTATCTCGTTGTGGTCCCATTCGAGTCATTAGCCATTAAACTACCTGATTTTTAGGATTTTTAAGACGATATCTCAGCTAATGTTGAACTTTCAGCACACCAACATTACACACTATTTAAAATGGAAAAAGTGAAATCGCAAACCACCCCTTTAAAGTTATTGGGAATTACAAATTGTCAAAATGGAATGAATCGCAATCACCGCTGATCGTCAGGTACCTAGACGCTCTGAGAAGACCATCAGTTGGACCATTCCTGAGATTCACACACTTGGCAGTCACAAAGGAACTATTCAACGTGATAATCCTACGGGTAAAGTGTCAAACTCGTCAAGCTTTCATTGCATCCTCTACCAGCTTAAGCTGTATTGTGCAACTTTTACCAAAGAAAGAGTGCTGACAGATGCGTCCTATTTTCAACTCCTGCCTCAGGGTGTCCCTCTCCCAAAGCGCTCAACCTTTTATCTTGCACTTACATATGGAATAAAAGAGTAGGCAAAATCAGCAGTTGAATACCGCTGCTTTTGGGTAAACAAAGTAGGTGTTTTCTAAAGTAGGAGGATGAAATAAGGCAGGGGCCGAAAGTTGCACTCTTGCGTAAATATGTTACTGTTTGTGATCTGCAGGATGGTTTTGTTTTACACACCAGGATTCAGAAGCCCGAAAAAAAAGGCAAGTGGTGCCTAATCCACCACTTTACTACTGTACACAAACCTGAACCTTTTAAAAGCCACATCAGTACAAGTCCACCACTGGGTTTGAAGTGACACTTTTAAAGTGAGGATCTGTCACAGTCGGCTTGAAGGATTAAAGTCTGCAGCATTTACCAAGATGACAGCTCTAGCTTTGAATGGGTTAATGCAAAAAACTATCAATGCTGATGAACTTGGAAGGATCATAAACAAAGAAAGGTGCAATATTTAGCAGACGACATCAGATGACTTAGTAAAAAGAGAAGAAGAGAGAATGACAAAAAAGAGGAAAGTAAACAAAGAGCATTATAGAATAAAATCATGATGTGATGTCCACACAAAACAGTGTTAGTCACCACACTCACGACTCATGAATGCCCTGCATTGTGACGCTAAAGATGTGGGAAGCCATGGTGTGAACCTACTGAAAGCTCTCCATTTCTAGACATTATTTTTCTTCCTCTACTAGCTTTCGCTTTCTTTTGCAAAGTTCTGAAAACTGGTATTTTACAAAGCTGTGCCGAGAGAAGAACACCTGCAGCAACCAAACCAAAACTATACAGCTTTGATAAGATAAACAAGTAGTTTTGACCTAACTTTTTGGTTGGTTGAGAGATCAGCCTGAATACAACAATCACAATCATGTCTAAAAGACCCCCTTTGGTGAAAAAGTTTTTAATGTTGTTTATATGTCAACATTATGTGGTGCTTTTAATATGCTTTAAGACAAGCCATGTGCAAATTCATGTCAACACCATTGTAGAGAATTTTCTCCTTAAAACTGCAGTGAAAAAAAAAAAACATTACGTGACGTAATGGGCACAAAGTGCCCCCATTGGATCTGACGTCACCTAAGGGCCTCTCTCGATAGGCTGCTGCAGTTGGCGCAGGACAGCCAATACGCATGAGAGCCGTCTTGCATATGTCTGCATGCTGCCGAAAAAGCGTTTTACAATAATTCAAAATTAAGGATAATTTTTGGCTACAATATCTAATGGAAAAGAGGTTTTCCCCTAGCATTAGATATTAAGCAGTACGAGAGAACCTCACAAGAGAAAAAAATTAAACTCATGCAAACAACGATCTCCTAGATAAGAAGCTGACACATGGATATGGGAAGCTACATAAAGGGGTCACTTGTCTTTACTTGTAACATTGTGAAACACGATTTCAAATAGTAAACACATTCTACTCCCTAAAGAGATACTCCACCCAAAAAAAAAAAAGAAAGAAAGAAAAGAAAATTCTGTCATCATTTACTCACCCTCATGTCATTCCAAACCAGTAAGACTTTCTTCTGTGGAACATAAAAGAAGATATTTTTAGAAATGTGTATTTTGTCCATACAATGGAAGTCAGTGGGCTCCAATGTTGCCTGTATCCCAAAATTTATCAAAATATCTTCTTTTGTGTTCTACAAAAGAATGAAAAAAAATGCATCTAGGTTTGGAATGACATGCAAATCAATTTATGTATTACAACTTGATTATACCATAAAAGGTCTGGGGTTTCATATAATGTATAATGATAGAAATTAAAAACGCACAATTAAGCATGTGCACATTGCTCACATAAAGGCACAGCATTGCATAATCCACAAATGGATCAAACATGCCATCCGCTGCATGCCAATTCTTTATAAATACATAATACTTGTTAAAATATCAGGGGCGGGTAAACTTATAAAGAAGCTATATATTTATCACAAATTAATATTTCACAGAAATGCATTATATGCACCTGAATTTAAACATTTAAGAATGATTTGCTAATGAATCATTTAGACTAATTTGTGAATCTGTCCGACTCCCAAAAAAAGCCCACAAACCCCAAATTATGGCCTTCAAGCAAGTTTTACTCTACACACAGTTAATATCTAGCAGATAAAAAAAATCAAAAACAGAACAGAATAAAACAAGAATACTTTCATTTTCAAGCCTGGAAAACAGAATTTGATATTTTCAGGCTTTTCAGGACCATGGGAACTGTGTAAATAAATCATTAGGGTAGATTAAATGATTTTAGCCATTATTTAACCCTCACCAGAGGAAGTAAAGCTGAAAGCTGAATGGAATTTCAGTTATAACTTGTATCTGACAGTTCTGGTCTAGTTACTGCTAGTCAGTCACATGAGACTCATTTGGGATTCTTAAGAGCATGAGTGAGCTGAAATACTCAACCTGTCATCAAAAGCTCATTCTGTAGAGTCACACACATGACACTAATAAGTTCGAACAACCTATCGCTGGCATCTAGCATCTCTAAATTCACATTTATGAATAGAGGCATTGTGTCAACTGATTGAAGAAGCAGCAGATTACTCTTGCACAATTAATCAGTCCAACTCCTGACAGAAAGAGTGAATCTTATGCTAACTGCAATTGATGGCGGTAATAAAAAAACAGTCTCTGAAAGACAGATGGAATTGAAACTGATTTTTTTTTTCTTTCTAAGGACACATTCAGTTTTACTTTGAATTCACAAAAGAGGAAACTTTAAAAAGTGATGCAGAAAACCTAAATGGTTTAGAAATACAATAAAATCTATATCAGAGGTCTTGAATAGGGTCTCTGTGACATCCAAATCTATACTACTGAAAGCAGTATAACAAAAACCCAATCCAAAAATTGAAATTCGGTCATCATTTGAGGTACACAAAAGAAGATATTTTGAGAAATACCGAGTCAATGGCTGTCAATTCAATGCTGTTTGGATCTGAACATCTTCAAAGTGTTCCACAGAAAATACAGAAAGTTGGACAGGCTTGAAACAGCACGAGGCATAATAAAATAGTTTTCATTTTTGGGTGAACTATCCCTTTGAGTCAACTTCAGCCTAAGCGAATGTTAAGGTTCGGCTAAATTACAATTAAAATGTAATGTACGGGTACAAAACAAATCTCTAAACCAAGAGATCTTTTTAACATTGTTTCATGGGAAACTAACTCTGCTAGTCCTAAAGGACTTAGAGATCTTTGAGAGAGGTTGGCACAATCTTCTAGAGCCCAGTGCCAGATACAGCCATCTTGATAATATAGTGTGTCGAAGAAAGATGAGCAGTGGTCAGAATAAGGCCAACATAATTGTTTTCCTAACTGGACAAATGCTCATGCAATAAGATTGAGTGAGATAGAGAAATACCATATGAATGGCTTAACGCAGTGAGACAGATGGCGTTTGCTGGTTTTGCTTTACACTGGCCATTAGCCAAAGTGCGCACACTCAACACACACACACTCTCTCTCTCTCTCTCTCTCTCTCTCTCTCTCTCTCTCTCTCTCTCCACCACACACACACTAAATTAGTCTGCTGCTCCTCTCCACTGGTTTAATTAGTGTAAATGCATTACCACCACCGATCAATGGGTGAGAGGGTCCATTCATTGCCTGTGAGTGTCTGATAATGACAGTCAAATACACCAGGAGTGCATGATCAAAATCTTATATTATAGTTTGAGGGTTATTTTTTTCACAGTAATATACACTATTCAAAGGTTTGGGATCGGAAAGAGTTTTATAATATTTTTATGCTCAACAAGGGTGCATTTATTGTAAAATAAAGTAGCAAAAATACAGTAAATAGCAATATTGTGCAATATTATTACAATTTAAATTAATTTTAAAATGTCATTTATTCCTGTGATGGGATTTCAATTTCCATTTCCTATTATCAATGTTGAAAACAGTTGTACTGCTTAATGTGTTTTGATGAATAGAAAGGTCAAAAGAACAGCATTTTGTTAAAAATAGAAATCTTTTGTAACATTAAAAAAGACTTTACTGTCACTTTTGATCAATTTATGATCATTTTTTTCCCTTGTGTCCTTGTTAAATAATGTATTAAAAGTACTAAAATTATTACTTACCCTAAACTTTTAAACAGTAGCGTAACTATCATTGCATGAAACTCAACCCTGAAATGTTTTATGGAAATTCAAATATCATTACATTTAGGAATGCACCGATATGAACATTTTGGCTGACACACGACCGATGATTCTTTATATTTGAAAGCTGATAACCAATATATTGGCCGATAAATTTAAATCCAAATTTGAGAGCCTGATTACAAAAACAAAAGTCTTTCATCATTAAAAGTCATGTCCCAAACACACAATTATAATAATTTTCTCATTATAATAGCCTATATGACAGACTTGCGCTGCACATGGTGCACTTCACTGTATTTATCTTTTTAATTGATAATTAATAAAAAAATTTAAAAAAATATCAAAAACTACACCTTTATTCAGCATTATATTCTCTTACGGTTTAATGAGCCACGTTGTGACGTTGCCTGGCAACTACACAGTTACACGTGTTTACGCCAGACATCCGTGGTTACTCCCATTATAATCAGTGTACCCGCCGGCAGTGGCAAATCTGTTTACATTGCTAAAGTAAATAACAACAAATAGCATCTTAGTAAATATTGCAAAAGTGCAAATAGTAAATGATTTAGATGAAGTGTAATAGACATGATATGCTATTTGTACATATGATAAATTATCTGAGCAATAGTTGGCAGAGTTAGTGAAAACAGTCTTTACCAACAATACTAAATAGCATCTTTGAATCTGATGACAACACCAACGGCATGAACAGGTATAACAGAATCTCTACCATTTCCCAACTATAATGTCACAACACACAGCCCTACTAGACACAGTGCAAAGGAATACAATAAAAACATCAAATGTCTATGAGTGATCTGTGTAAAAGCAATAAAGCTTTACCCAAAACAATTGCTTTAGTTTGAAAGGTTGAGTGAATGTGGGTAACACCCATTGTTTTCTATCAGTAATCCTGACAGAATATTCTGGTTGCTCGCCTGAAACACAGCAAATCTCTTAAAGACAGAAAAGTTGGCTACTTTAAGGCAATCCTATTCATCTCTAGCCTCACTATAAGGGCCTCCTTTCTGGGGAATGGCAAAAGACTCCATAAGCAACTGTGAAAAATGCAAACTACCCATTAGCTTATTCACCTTTAAGACCTCAGGCAGATATTTTTTCACAAATGCTTGTGGAATGTTTTGTCATTGTGAGGACTGAATTAAAACGGCAGGCTAAATGCAAAACTAACTTTACCTTAAGCAACAACTGCCTGATGCATATGGAGATATGGAAAATATGCACATACACTGTAATATTAGCCTGTGTGAAAACATTCTCAACTGTTTTGGCTTCAAGACCCACATTTTACCGTATAAATTAATTTATCCAACAAAAATGCTAAATTATTAACACTAAAATAAGCCTATTTATTTTGCTATCCTTAATGTGCATGTTATATGATAACTAGTTGCATCTCATTTGCATTTACCATTGTTTCCTGCGTCCCTATCAGAACAGGCCTACCAGGATTTTTGTCTCACAGTTTAGAACCACTAGTCAAAAAGACCAACAACAATGACACTAAATGCTATTACATTGCCCTGTCAAAGCAAGTAAAGTGTTTTCTTGAGAAACATGATCATGAGATCATTGGGTTGGCAAGGCTAATCCATTGGCAATGTGCAGTTAAAGACAACATTTAATGTGCTAGTGAATGTGCTTTCATTTGTGTCAGTCTGTGTGAGTCAAAGACAGAAAGACCAGAGAGGGAGACAGAGATGATGAAGAGTACGCAGATTTGTGTCAATGAGGGTGCCTGTAACGCAAAGCCGTTTGTAAATGCAGGCACAGCCATGAAAAGCAGTTGCCTCTGGGTAAATTTTACAGTCACAGATCTAACTGTTAGAACATTTCATTAGCACTGCTCATTAAACACAGAGGCTATGTGAACTTTAGTCCTACTGAGACTCCTCACAGGCTAATTATTCTCTTCCTATACACTGATGTCCTTAGGAGAGTGATGATGACTGGGCTTTTTTTTTCAGTTTCTGGGACACTTTTCGCCCTCTCCGATTTTCCATTGACTATGTAATCTGTAACCCAGCGCACTCCTTTGGAATAGATTTTGTTATTGCAGTGTAAACTTTAATAAAGACAGCTGATAAAAAAAAAAAAAGAATGGTTGAACATTAATCTTCAAATGTCCCATTATCCAATCCAACAATTACTATGATTCTCGAAATAGGTTGATCCTGATCCATAGCCATATTGTGTTTAAAATTAAGGAAATCATTTTTAATTTCTTGTTTATTTAACGGCTGTATAGAAGTACCAAAATAAATGTGCTGTACCTACAACCATGCTGTGTATCAGCCATGTATCGGATGAAATTGCAAGATAAGTTTGGTAAGTCTTATGAGAAAGTCTTATGAGAAAGAGCAAAACGGTGGAAAACAGTTGCAC